ATATTTGGATGATTTATTTCAAAAAGGCATTTGAAGGCCAACCTGTATCATTAATGCATAACATACATAAATAGTAAATCTAAAAGTTGCACAAGGTGATTTGACAGCTTATTCATAGCACTCACATGGCAAGTCCAGGATAAGAAGGGGATCAGGCCCAGTCAGCATGGGTTTACGAAAGGCAGGTCCTGCTTGACCAACCTGATCTCCTTCTACGACCAGGTGACCCTCCTAGTGGATGAGGGGAAGGCTGTGGATGTTGTCTACCTCGTCAGCAAGGCCTTTGACACTGTCTCTCACGGCATACTCCTTGAGAGGCTGGCATCTCATGGCTTAGACAAGTGTACTCTTCACTGGGTGAAAAACTGGCTGGATGGACGAGCCCAGAGGGTTGTGGTGAATGGGGTTAAATCCAGTTGGTGGTGGGTCACAAGTGGTGTTCCCCAGGGCTCGGTGTTGGGCCCTGTTCTGTTTAATATCTTCACTGATGATTTGGACCAGGGGACTGAGTGCACCCTCAGCAAGTTTGCAGACGACACCAGGTTGGGAGGGAGGGTCAATCTGCTGGAGGGTAGGGAGGCTCTACAGAGGGATCTGGTCGATGGGCTGAGGCCAGTCGTATGAAGTTCAACAAGGCCAAGTGCCGGGTCCTGCAATTTGGTCACGGCAACCCCATGCAGTGCTACAGGCTTGGGGAAGCGTGGCTGGAAAGCTGCCCAGCAGAAAAAGACCTGGGGGTGTTAGTTGACGGCCAGCTGAATATGAGCCAGCAGTGTGCCCAGGTGGCCAAGAAGGCCAACGGCATCCTGGCCTGTATCAGAAATAGTGTGGCCAGCAGGAGCAGGGAGGTGATTGTCCCCCTGTACTGGGCACTGGTGAGGCCACACCTCGAGTCCTGTGTTCAGTTTTGGGCCCCCCACTACAGGAAAGACATTGAATTGCTGGAGCGTGTCCAGAGGAGGGCAACCAAGCTGGTGAGGGGCCTGGAGCACAAGTCTTATGAGGAGCAGCTGAGGGAACTGGGGTCGTTTAGCCTGGAGAAGAGAAGGCTGAGGGGAGACCTTATCGCTCTCTACAACTGCCTGAAAGGGGGTTGTAGTGAGGTGGGTGTTGGTCTCTTCTGTCAGGTGGCTGGAGACAGGACAAGGGGAAATGGCCTCAAGTTGAGGCAAGGGAGATTTAGGTTAGATAGTAGGAAAAATTTTTTTACTGAGAGGGTTGTCAAACATTGGAATGGGCTGCCCAGGGAAGTGGTTGAGTCACCATCCCTGGAGATATTCAAAAAGCGAGTGGACAGGGTACTTCAGGACATGGTTTAGTGGGCATGGTTAATGGTTGGACTAGATGATCTTGAAGGTCTTTTCCAGCCTAAATGATTCTTTCAGAATGCCATATTCCAAACCATATTACTAACTATATGCTACAGAAAATTAGGATATGAAACTTAAAGTTGCAGTAAACAGATAAGATATAAACTAGCATAAATCATTATATTGGTATAAAATAAAGAAACTGCAATAGTTAGGGAAGGGAACTGCAATAAAGGTTTTTCTAGAGCTACTAAAGGAAGATGTGAGCTTTGTTGAGGGGATGCAATAGCTTGTAAAAAGGTTTTGTTGCTTACATTTTCCATCCCTTGCTGTGGTCAGCAAGTAACAGAGCCTGACCCTCAGTTATCATAAAGAATCTTCAAAAACTCAAAAGTGAAATGCTGCTGTGCTCTGAAGCCAAGATTGTCACGGTCCGTTTGGATCTCTCAAATTTACAGGACAACATACTTTGTAAATTATTTTGTGAGCTCATTAGGAAAGATAACAGACATTCACACCAAACAAGGGCTCAATGCCCTTCATATAGACTAGTCTAACACATGAATTCACTAATTCATCCTTTAATTCATGAGGTTTCTAACTCACAAGTTGTCTAATTTGTAACGTGCAACTCAAGCAAAATACTTCCCTAGCCAATGATGAGCGTGCTCATCCTTTCTCCTCCTCCATCACACTGCAGGACTCCCCTGGATCACACTGGGAAGCACAAAAGCCTGAGCAGTCTGGCTGCTGTTGGATATGCTTCAAAAGCCTTTTGAGTAAGCTGATGTATTTATACCTTCCAGCTTGGCAGTTTGGTCTATACCATTTCCATAAGTTAGTGGATTCTGAAGGAACTGCCAGACAATCAATAGCAAAGATTATGGCTGAGGGAGCCTGCAAGCTGCAGGTGATGATGACTGTGTAATGACCTATAGGCCTTCCTGTGGGCTGCCTACATGTTGCTCTCGCTTTGACTTAACAGCGGTGCTCCCAACACACATCGGGCCTTTACATGAGCTGTGTTAGCTAAAATCTGAGCAGGAGTTGAATGAACAGTCACACATGATAGAAAGAAAAGCTTAAATGTGTTTTGTGAAATGGAAGGAGATGTGATCAGGTATCAGTTTGGAGACTACCTTTGCAGAACATATTAATTCTTTTTGATATTTTAAAGATATTGGTTAATATGAAAGGTGCTAAATGTAGTATAGTAACAGTTTCTGTCACAGCATATGTATTTTACCAGTGAAAATTCAAATTACCTGGAAGCAGGTCACAAACAAACAGATGATTCTTCGCACAGTGTCTAGTTAGGCTGTGGAAACATGCGATTGTGTGAATACCAACAGTTTAGAAGGTATTGTAAGGCTGTGCACTATGCCAAAGGACCCCAATGGAAAGTTTGTGCAACCGCATGGAAGAGAAAAAAACAATCACTGAAAGCAACTGAACACATAGAAGTTAAATCTCCGAGGCTCTGAGTGATCATTTAGAATGTGAAGGACAATCTGAAGAGCTTATCACATATGCTTGCCCTGGTCATATCCTCCTGCAGCCATCTGCTTTCATCCACTGATGGATGAATGGAAAAGGATACTGAACTTTGGTCTGAAACAGGGTTCCAGAACATATCCAACCAAACCACAGAGAATATACGTTTGCCCACTATAAGAGAATTATTTCCTCCCAAACTATTTTCCTTCTTTCCCTATCTTCAAGGCTGATGAGACTGAATGAAATAGAATAGGTAAAACACTGAAATAAAGGAGCAGAAGTGACAAAGGAGAGAGAGAGAAACATGAGGCTCTTTGGGAAAAAGACAAACAGCTGAACAGGCTTCTGGAGAGCTTTGGCTTCACTTCCACTTGTACGAAAACATCAAAGGTGGAAAAGGCAAGCTAGATGTAAGACAGTGCAATGGAGAATCAGCTGTATCAGAAAGCAGGAAATTCTGTTAATTTTTATATGCATTTTCAGTTTTCTTAAGTGTCACCTTTTCCAGGCTTTATCTTTCTGTTTTTAAAAATGCACAAATTCTGTCAAGTCTGTCTCTTCACGAATCTGTTTGCTAACAATTAGCACAAGTCTCCTGAGGGAAAACTGGGAAAAGGTGTGCAAAATTTTAATGCAATTTATAGGAGTTGGTCCTGGAGCCAGAAAATAGGCAATAAGATCCCTACTTTCTGGAGAGGATGACAGCTAGAGCTCTGCAGCCTGAGAACTTGGCTAAGGACACTGAGAAGCAATACAAGAACTCTGGCCAGACTCCAGAGGTTTGAGACATTAAGAGAGCTGGTGCGTTGATCTTGCATCAATTTGATGAGTAACCAAGAAATGTTGCTTGGCCTGGTTTCTTCATGGCTCAGAGCCCACTTCAGGATGAAAACCGTCTCTACTATGGTGTAACAAAACAAAATCTGAGAAGAAAGGGTACTCACCAGGCAGGCAATAAAAGTAAGGTTTTGTTGATCATAGACTAACTGAATGATTCATGCAGAAAGGTCCCTTTGGATGTCACCTCATTGTTCCTCACAACTCCCACCAAAGCAGCGCCAACTTCAAATTCAATCCAACTTCAGGGACAGATCACATTGCTCAGGGTCTTCTCCAACCATGGACTGAACATCTCCAAGGACAGGGATACCATAGCCTTGCAGTTCCCATATTTGACTAACCTCATGGTGTGATTTTTTTTTTTCTTATGTTGAATTTGAACTCCACGTGTTCCCTGTGTGCTTCTCATCTTCGTGCACTTCTGAGAAGAGTCTGCCTTCATCTTCTCTATGCCCTTACATTAGGTAGCTGAAGATAGTAATTTCCCCTTTCTCTGTCTTCTCCAGCCTAAACTAACCCATTTCTTTAGCTTCCCCATGATCATCTTCGTGGTGCTCCACTGGACTCACTCCAATTTGTCAATACTTTTCTTGTACAGGGAAGCCCCAATGTGATGCTAGGCTCCAGTGCTGAATAGAGGGGAATAAACACTTCCCCCAAAGTGCTGGCTACATTCTCGCATATACGGACCAACATATGGTTGGTCTGCTTCACCAACAGAGCACACAGCAACTCTTGTTCTATTTATTGTCCAGCAAGACACCTAGATTTTTTTTCCCAACAAAAATGCTTTCTATCCAGTCATAGCCCAGTGTGTACTCCTGCACAGGGCTATCCCACCCCAAATGCAGGACTCTGCCTTTGTTGAACTTCATGTAGTCTTTGTTCATTTCTTTAAGCTGTCAAGATCCCTCTGCTTGACAGCCCTGCATTCCAGTTGACCACCACTCTCTACTCCAGTTTGATACATTAACAGTGAACAAGGGTTAGGGATTTTCCTGTATTCTGTGAGGTTTGGGTGTTTTTACTGTGGGAGATTTCTGTCTGTTCCCTTTTCTGGATGAAGGTGCATGTTAAAGGCAAAAAGTATGCTAACTGTTGTATTTTGTTGTTGTTGTTGTTATTTACAGATATGTAACAACTTCCAATAGAATTTGTCTTCTGGATAAACACAAAACCAAAAATCAGTTTATTCCACAAGATGGATGCATTCTGGATATCCTTGCTGCCATGATTCAAGGAGGGAGGCAATGTTTTACCTTCTGCATTAAAAGCATATTCTGGACAAAGAATATTTTCACAATAGATTTATAATTTTACCAACATTTCACATAAAATTGTTGGGAAGGGAGGAGTGGGAAAAGACTGAAATAAGATCCCCAATGTATTTTAAGTGTAAGAAATACTGAATTACTCAAGGAATGAGCTCACAATTAGCAATAGTTTAATAAACAAGGTAAGAAATATATGACTAAGACCCTGAGTCCATAAACCAGACTCCACTACAGGATTGTTTTGCAGGATGCAGTGCTGTGCACTATGCCCAAGGACCCCAAGCTCCAGTTGCTGCTGGATCACAGTTGGGATCCTCATCAGGGTAAAACACAGGCACTGAATGTTTATAATAATACTGAAGCCGTGACAGCAGTTTTTCTACCACATGAGGATATTTTTCAGACAAATCATTTTTTTCTTCAGGATCATGAACAATATCAAATAGCCACAGTCTCTTTGTTGGTGGATCAGATGATTGAATCTCTGACTCATTGAACAAAGATGGTGGAGGGAACCAATGACTGCAGCCTGCAGAAACAGGAATAGTCCAAGGGTTAATTCTCAGACACAGAGCAGCAGTGTGGAGACAAAGAGTTATACGGTAATGGACAAATTCACTAGGTCTCTTGACAAGCCACTGGCCAGTGACTGTTGCTGCATTCCTTAACTCTAGCCCAGCACCAGAGTCTGTCTAGTCCAGGGCTATCTATACAGGAGTCCTATTTATACAAAAAAGCTGCACCACTGGGATTCAAACTTCCCTGTCACTTAATATCACATAAATTAATCTCATGGATTTTCTTCTTGGATACAACGATCCTCATGGGTTCCTTTCATCTTGAGATATTCTATGATTCTATGATAGTTTTTCCACTACTGTGAAAGTCATTTGTATACAAAATATTTGCAAAATGAAAGAATATGTTGTTTGGATTTTAGAAGTCCCCCTTCTAGATTTTTGCACGTGATCAAAAACCTGAGAAGTTAGGAAATAACTAAAAGCAATGAAAATACATTAAACAGAATTAAACTGTGTTTGGGGTGGGTGGGAGATACAACACACTGTACAAAAAGGAGTTACTTTGTTACCTGGATATCCAGTTAGTAACTTCCATTTTCCACGTCGGATTGCTGCATGCATGGATATATTGAAAAGTGTATCATCCCATGGAGAAGAATTGCTCTGTGGTAAAGATGTCCTGTTGTCAATGCCAAGACCTTAATGAAACAGTAAACGAAGTTAGGTACATTGCATATGCATGAAGTAATTTTTAGAATTCTGCTGGAAAACAGAGTGATATCATCCATTTATTTTTGTGTCTTGGATGAAGAATTTGTTATATATATGTGAGAAGATCTGTGCTATTGATTCACTGATTGTATTTAATGCAGAACTTGAACTGCACTCCAAAAAATTACCAGTGGAAAGTGTCACACCTGAGTCCAGATAACTGGACTCATTTTGTATACAGATATATATGTGTATCTCATATACCTATATTAAGAATGATCATGACTGGAATTGCTACAGTTGCTCATACAAGTGCCTGTACCTTTTGCCACTTAGGAATATAGGATTGAAAGATCTCTTGAATCAATGCTACTACTGTTAATTCTCTTAGATCACATCAGGGACCAAGTCCCAGGTCCTGACTTGTATCCACATGCAGAGAGCTGTCTCTCTGGACTGAGCTGGCTACATTCACACAGATCCATACCTGGCCAGCAAGGTAGAATAACAGAATCTAGAATTGTTTAGGTTGGAAAAGACCTTAAAGATCTTCGAGTCCAACTGTCAACCCAACACCACCATGCCCACTAAACCATGTCCTAAAGTGCCACATCTATGTGTTTTTTGAACACCTCCAGGGATGGTGACTCCACCACTTCCCTGGGCAGCCTGTTCCAATGCCTGACAACCCTTTCAGTAAAGAATTTTTTTCTAATATCTTCTGTGGCATGACATAGCGTGAAGCATGTCTTCATGCTGTCTTTGGTAGAGCTGCATATGTGACGTGACCCCATATCCAGATACTGCAGAAAACTCTATAAAGTGTCAACTACATGCAAATTCCTTCTCAAAAGGAAACCTGAAGCTCCTTATAGGAGGGAGCTCAGAAAAAAATTAACATGCTACAAGGCATGATCAGGAGACCAGCTCTTTACCGAAACCAAGAGGGAGTCAGACTGGCACTCCAGGAACAACCAAGCCATCTTGCATATCAGCTTTCATAAACAAGACAGGAGTCTAAGACATAAAATCTCAGGGGTTTATATTAACTATATCAGCTGGTATCTGTTTACAAAAAGACTACCATAAGGCAACTCTATAAGCAGACTAGAAACAAGACGTCAGAAGGTGGAGACAAACCAGTGTTGATTTCTAGCATCTTTCAGAAGATGACTTTCAATCAATTTAGGGAATTTGAAGGACTCAGCTGACAGATTTTTGCCACTGAAATGAAAAAAAGAATCCACGAGATGTACAATAATCATGTGAGATCCAATATTAGGAGCAGAACTACAGGTTTCTAAAAAGAGTAAATTCTGTACATCACAGTGGGGCAAATGTAGATCTGCTAGAAGTAAGAAACAGAAAGTTTGGAAATGAAATGCTGGGACACAGTTTCTCTACTTTTTATGAAGGTCTTGCTAAGTTTCTGTTTTACTACTGGGCTTCACACTTTGAATCAGCTTTTCTCTAATGAGCACTTTTTGTGCATACCCAAGTTCCCTGTTTACATCAGACTTGTCTAACATTCCCAGGTAAATAAGGCTATAAAAGGGGACTACTTGTTTAGAGTATGCATACACAGGATGAGGGGCCCTCAGCTCATCTTAGATCATAAAGCACTGAAGCTGATGGTAAAAAAAACCCCAAACCCCTAGCAGAACAAGGAAAACTTCATAAATACCCCCAGAAGTATCTCTTCTGGAAGATAAATGCCCACAGAGCCATGTGATGTCCGTAGCAGATATGAAACAGTTTAAAGATTAATATTCCTTACTCTTCAACATCATTACGCTATGTATTATTCTGTTATCGTGTTTGCTACTGGGAATACTCATCTTTGCCATCTACTTTCTTAAAGAGCACAATGAAAGACATTCAGCAGATCAAAAACCACAACCATGTTTCTTAAACATTACAACTCAAAATTACAGTATTAAGGCTTGGTCTAAAGGAAAAACTATGTGCATCTGCATTTCTGATTTTAAGGTTTAGCATGGAGAAGATGCTTCTGATTGCTGAGATACAGTATGTGAAGCCACAGTATTACACAAGATAAATTATTTAAAATACTTCAAATAAACACTATGAAAGATTGTATTTTTAGATATACTTTGCAAAATATTCTTAGAATGCCATGCATGAGACTTAAAATAAGATTCAAGACAATAAAACAATTTTTAAAAACCCTTATTTGGTCCAGGTAACAAAACCAAAATCCTAAATTAAGAAATGCTTTTACCAGAGCTTGTAGTTGAAGTTGTTTGGTGGAATATTACCTTTCAGCAAAATCTCTTGAAGAGAAAAAGATAAATTCCCTCATGTTGAGCTATTATAAACAGAATTCTGTCAGTTGTGTTAACTCACTCATTGCAAGCACTTGTCTTGTGCCAAAGAAATGTACTGTCTATTATTCAGACAAGTGCATTGCTTCCCAGGCAGTATGGGTCAACTTTTATCAGACATATCAGCCATGGAAAACAGACTGATGCTTGTTTGAATGCTCTCTACACAGGATATTTACAGGGCTACCAGTATATTACATTGTACAAGCACAAGATAAGGAAATAAGATAAACAAAAATATTGCTTGATCCGAGTTCTCTTCTTCCCGTGATACGATTTTCACCTTAAGTGCGGATATTCCTCCCCCTGCATTTACCTGACTTTCTCCTTCTCTTCAGTCCAGCTGTTAAGTTTCTACCTCCGTCTTCATTCCTCAGCTTCTGCTAGTGCAGTTGAAATGCAAAATGCCTGGGCAGTCTTCTCCCTTGCTGTATGAATTTTTCAGGGATCCCTTTTCCAATTCAGCAGACTAAAGAAGTCACATTCTTTTTGTTTCCTTTGCAAGATAAAAAGTTCATTCCCACAGCATCTAAGCAGTTTTTCTCTGCATCTGTTCTAAATCACTGGGGGGTTTTTTCTTCTTTTTTTTCCATTATGGTTGACCAGACAGTAACAACAGTCTTGTGGACTAATTCAGCAGTCAGAGGACAGATGCCTTTTATTGATCTGTGCAATCCAGCCTGCCTTCACATGCCTGCATATCCTCCTTATAGACTTATATATAAAAAATGTGATGCTTTTGCTTGTGCAAAGAGGCTAGACATTTTATTTTTCTGCCATTGGATCACCAGTGTATCAGTAGCTAATGAAATACTAAAGCTTTGTTTTCACCTTAAAAGAAAAAAAACACAGCCTTTGCCATGAATTTTCTTATTTTCAAACAGCAGCCACTGTTTCCTGAAGCCGAACTTTGGAGCCTCACCAGCTGCTGTATTTCTTTTTAAGTAGTCTCTTGGGAAATGATACAACTTCTATTAGTTAAGAAAGCAGTGAAATTTCATTCAGATATTTAGTTTCAAATATTTAATGTTACAATGAATTGATCTAAATATTTTACTGTTTTGTTTGGAGTTGTAGGTCACCAAAAAGTATTCTTTTGTATCTCTACAGAAAAAACAAATCCTTCAGAAAACGTTGCCCTTGGTAAGTGACTTTGGAGTTTGTATCATATTTCAAGACCATCCTTAGTCTTAACAGCCTGAAAAAATGGTTTCAGGATCAGATTTTAAAGGAATTGCGGTGCCCAACTCCCACTACCTGCAAAAGCAGTTCATTACCTAAATAGTTTAAAAGCATGGTCCTTTGCCCTTTATGAACACTTCAGCTTAGTTCTTTTATTTTCATTATCATACGTGGTCTCTATAAACAGATATATAGTCCAAATTAGGATGTAAAAGCCTAAATAATTTTCAAGAGCTAATTTGTATCTTCAAGAGACCTGATTTTTCAGAAGGCCAATGTCATCAACTTGGAAATATCTAGGTGCTCAGAAAGAATCAGTCAAAAAAGTTAGCTGCATTTGCAAAAATAATTGCTATTTTGATAATCTGAATATTCCATAGCATACTGTTCAGGCAGGACATTGAAAAATTTACTCCTGGATAAGAATACAAACAACATCCTGAATGATGACCAGAGAATATGTGGGACTTTTCTAAAAAGTGAACAATCTTTCAACGCATTAAGCCTTGCTAATGCACAAACATAAGTACAACAAAAGGGAAAGTAATGAACATGGGGGAAAAAAGTCAGTCTTCACTCTGCATACACAAAAGAATATGCTCTGGACAAGGTATTGCTATTTAGGGAAGAGTTTGTGAAGTTGTAATGAACAGGTAATGTCCAGCAGCGGTCAAGAAAAGCAAACCCACTACTAGAAGTGGCAAAGAATGGGACACTGTGCTACCACGTAGGTCCTTGTGCCTCACATGGGATACTGTGTGGTTTTGGTCCCCACATCATAAAACGGACACAGAAAAACCATACGAGGTACAAAAGGATATGACAAGGAAGATTAGAACTATGGAACAGCTTCTGTGTGAAGAATAATGAAATAAATAGGACTCTTCATCCTCAAAAATGGACAACTGATGAGGGACAGGACAGAGGTCTATGAAATTGTGTGGCCATGTGTGAGAGACCGAGAGACTGTGAGAGACTGGCAACCATTTCGTCTCAACTAACCAACCAAGCAGGTAGCTGCAAGCAGCCAAAACAGGAGGTGCCCTGCAGTGGTGGAGTAGTGAACTGTTTCTGGGAGGCTTTCTAGCAGTTGTGCCTCAAAGAGGCTTTCTGGCAATTGTCTTTCTGGCAAGTTTTCTAGCAGTTACACTTCGGATGTTTTGTCACAGGTTTGGAGTTCTGCCACGGGCCCTTTGCCACAGCAGTTGTGTAAACAAGTTAAATGGGATAATGGAGCAGCAGCAGTCCCCCCCATTCCCTCCTCAAGAACTTTAGAGAAAACCCCACAACACATGCGTGAGGGTATAAAGCGGGGGGGGGAGGACCAACCCCCAAGGCGTGCGCCCACTGCCTGAGGAATCCAGACAGCTACTACCGAGACTCTTTCTTCTTTGGATCCAAGGGTGGTGATACTTACCTCTCCTTTTCTCTCTTTCTTCTCTCTCTCTCTTATCTCTTCT